GTGCTTTTTAGCACATACATTACTGTACAGTATTATTCAATCCAGCATGGCTCCAAAGAAAGTGCAGAGCAAGCATGGTGGTAAAAAGAAAGTGCAGAGCGGTAATGAAGGTGACAAGAATGTTCAGAACGGATTATCCTTATTTACCGTATTTGCCGGCGTATAAGGTGACTCGGCGTATAAGACGACCCCCTCATTTTTCAGTGAAAACATTTGGGCTATACTAGTCATATTAGACGAGTGTAGCCCAAAATAATGTATAAATACACCCACCAATCTGTCAGCCCGCTGGATGTGCGGTAATACTGTATGTTACGTTAGCTTCGGCTACCTATAGTATACCGCGCTGAGCCAATCATGGCGAGCGATGTATTCTATGAATGAATACAAAGCCTGCTCGGATTGGGAGAGGTTGTGTACATCGCTCGCCGTGATTGGCTCAGCGCTGTATACTGTATGTAGCCGAAGCTACCGTACATACAGTATTACCGCACATCCAGCGGGCTGACAGATGAAGATTGTATACCCGGCGTATAAGACGACCCTCGATTTTCGGGGGATGTTTTTAAGTATAAAAAGGCGTCTTATACGCCGGCAAATACGGTAGTGATCGGCCCTTTGTGATGTATTGGCGGTTGTATTATGTGCACACTCGGCATATAACGGATTTCGCGATAAAATAAGATATAGGAGAACAATGTGGACAGTTAAATACACCCATCCCCCATAGTTGGAGCCCACGTGTGACCCTAAAGCCGGCATACATCGGCTCTATTGATCGGGAAGTGAGCGATCACATACCGGCCGCCCATCACTCCGTTCACAATCTTCTCCCTGCAGAGAGAGGTGACTGGTCACTGCTCCCCGCAGGGATTCCCCCCTTCCCTCTCCGATCCTCCAGCGCTCATTGGAGGGAGCAGACATTGATGGCTATCGATAGGCAGAGCCAGCTGTCACTCAGGTAGTGGGGTGGATCCCGACAATGTTATTATTATACAGGATTTACATTGCGCCAACAGTTTGCGCAGCAGATCTTTTGCGGCTGCAGCGCGGCTCTGAACTCTCAGCATATAGTGGGAAGTAGCCGGCTATTTGCTGCATTTTGGGTCCCAGGAGGACATTCGTAAAGCTACTCCTGTGACCCAAAAGAGAACTAATGCCAAAAAATATTTGCCCGTAGCTCTCTTAAGCTGGCCATACATGGATCGAATTTTGGCAATTTTCCTGCTCAATCGGCTAAATTGTAATACGTGGGCGGCCTGCCAGCAACACCCGGCACAACAAAATTCCCTTGTTTATTCAACTTTTGTTGCAAGAAGCAGCCGGGCCAAATATTTTGGGCCGAGCAGTGACTTCAGCCAGTCTGCTGCAGTCACTGTTGGGGTATTCTGATATTCAGGAGCCGGCGGTTGGAATTCATTTGTTGTCTGTGAGATTCTGTCAATCATGCCCTTCATCATCACTGGAGTGTGAATGTTTGTTTTCAGATGAATTTTAGAGAGAGCTACGGGCAAACCTTTTCTGGCCGTAGTTTGCTTTTGGGTCACAGGAGTAGCTTTACTTATGTCCTCCTGGGACCCAAAACTCGGCAAATAGCCGGCTACTTCCCGCTATATTCTGACAGCTCAGAGCCACGCTCTGATCCCAGCAATAATATTGGGATCTACCCCACAACCTGACTGACAGCTGACTCTGCCTTTCTAGAAATATTAATGTCCTCCTGTGATCCAAAACTCGGTATATAGCCGGCTACTTCCCGCTATATTCTGAAAGCTCAGAGCCACGCTGCAGCCGGAAAGGATCCCAGCAATAATATCGGGATCTACCCCACAACCTGATTGACACCTGGCTCTGCCTTTCTAGAAATATTAAAGTGACATTTAGGCCCCGTTCACATTGAGCGATTTATCACGTGGTAATTCCCGCGATATCGCAGGTATTTACCGTGCGATATCGCGCTCCAATGCTTGGCAATGGGGCAAAGGGTCCTGCTGTCGCGGGTCGTGTGTCGCTACAGCAGGACCCTTTTTGGAGCGCTTTTTGCCGCGATTCAATGCTTTTTGATGCAAGCGATATCGCGCAAAATGCGCGACAAACGCGCGATTTGCGCAGTGTGAATGGGGCTTAAAGGATAAGTTTTTTTTCTCTCCCCCCAATGTTAATGTTAGCACTTACATTAAATGATGTCTCTTATTCCGATCTTCTTTCCTGATGTTTTCATCTGTCCCTCCAGCGGTGCGGCGGCTCTCCGATCCAGTGCTGACCCCTCTCTGCTTGCAGGCCCTTCCGATCCAGCGGTGTCTGCATGCGGGTGCACGCGTCCATAGACTTACCTTGCGTCTCTGCTCGTCTCCCGGCCGAGAATCCGAACTGCGCATGCGCACGCCCAAAGATGCTTTGCGGCCGTCTGCACAGTTTTGTTTTCTCGAGCGGGAGCGCGCAGCGAAAACAAGGTAAGTTTCAACCGCTGTTAAAGCGTTTTTTTTTTTAAACTGTTTGCCTATATCTACTGCTTGGTAGTAGATATAGGCAAAAAAACGGGAGGGTTTAGAACCCCTTTTAATGTCCTCCTGTGATCCAAAACTCGGTATATAGCCGGCTACTTCCCGCTATATTCTGACAGCTCAGAGCCACGCTGCAGCCGGAAAGGATCCCAAAAATAATGTCCAGACCCCAACCTGCTACCTGATTGACAGCTGACTCTGCCTATCTAGAGACAGAGCCAGCTGTGCTCGCCCCCTTCCCGTCTGTCCCTTCAGTCAGTGCTGGAAGATCGGAGTGGGGAAATCCCTGCGGGAAGCCGTGACTGGCAGTCTCCTCTCTCTCTTTCTACAGGGAGACAATTGGGAACTTGGTGATCAGCGCTTTGTGATCGCTCAGTTCTCGATCTATAGAGCCGACACGT